AGTTTAGTTATGATGTAAATACAATAAAAATTAAATCAAGATTTAGAATAATTATCATTTTGATCCATACATTGGTAATGTGTGACTGGGCCTCGTGTCACTTTATGTTCAACAAATTGGGCTCCGAGGTCAAAAAGGTTAAGAACCCCTGGCTTAAACGTAGCTTTTTGTAATTTAATAGGGTCAATTGTAAAAGAAAACTCCTTTTTGAACAGGAAGAAACTTCCAGCTGACTTTTAGAAACTAGAAAAGCCAACAGTTAACCTGACTTCCCACTAACAGCAACAAACCTGCTGCTGTCTCTGTCAGGAGCATAAAGGCATCGTGGTGGAACAGCCGTCTATCCTGAGCTCATTCAGGACCCCAATGGCCACGGCCACTGTGGAGCCCACCCCACCTGACAGGCTGGGAGGACTGGGAAGTTTTGGCTCCCTCAGTCCTTCAGAGGAGAAGTCCCCTGATGCTGTGTCCACTGCCTCAGAAGCTACAGAAACTGGTCAGTCACTACAAATCACTTACCAGATTAGAATCTTTCACAGTTTTGCTGTTGATAAGCAAAATGTTTCTAAGAGTTTCAAAAACAAGGTTAAGCTTCAAAGCTTGGAGCTTCACACTTTTCTTATGTCATTTAAGAAGAGAAACATCTTCAGTTACAGAAACACCTTGATTTTAAGTCTATACTAGCATAATATTAGTATTCAATGTTTGCTTTAGTACTGTATGATGATGATGATGAGCGTTTGACTCCGCTTTCTACCTCTCTTCTCTCACTCTTTGCCTCAGCAGTCCTGAGTCCTCAGATTACTCCCTCAGCTACAGAGAGCTGTTTTGCCCGTCAGCACACGGTTGTATCAGACAACAACAATCAGTGTTTTTCTGCAGCCAATGGTCACCTGCCCTCCCAGCTGGCAGCACAAAGGCCCGGAGCCATTGACAACCAGTCTTTGGTCACCACTGATCCCATAAAGGCAAGGCCTGCATGTTTGTGTGTACAGGGTGCTGCAAGGGTTTTTGGTTGCTACTTATGTGCTTCGGTTCTCTTTAGATCTATTGAGTCACATATATAGTTTGTGTTACAGTTTAATATGAAACAGGCTGTTCAGAATACTGTCATGAACAATACATCTGCTTTTACTTCAGTCAGGCAACTGAACAGATGGATGGTTGGATGGATGGCTGGATGGATGGATGGTGGATGGATGGTGGATGGATGTATAGTATGCTGGATGGATGGATGGATGATGGATGGATGGTGGATGGATGGTGGATGGATGGTGGATGGATGATGGATGGATGGATGGTGGATGGATAATGGGTGGATGGATGATGGATGATGGATGGATGGTGGATGGATGATGGATGGATGGATGGTGGATGGATAATGGGTGGATGGATGATGGATGATGGATGGATGGTGGATGGATGATGGATGGATGGATGGTGGATGGATAATGGGTGGATGGATGATGGATGATGGATGGATGGTGGATGGATGATGGATGGATGGATGGTGGATGGATAATGGGTGGATGGATGATGGATGATGGATGGATGGTGGATGGATGATGGATGGATGGATGGTGGATGGATAATGGGTGGATGGATGATGGATGATGGATGGATGGTGGATGGATGATGGATGGATGGATGGTGGATGGA